ATTTAACCCCAGTACTCTTTCCTGCCATGGCAGGGGGTCAGACTTGATCTGCTCATGTCCCTTCCAACCCTACTAAATGTGAAACCCCACTGAGAACATCTTCCAGACAATACCCGTTTCCCTTGATTTATGCGGTAGATGGGTTCCCAGGGAACGGTGCATAAAGCGAACCCAGTTTACAATGAAACAGGTAGGGATGCGTTCCTACAGTTGTGAGGGAGGGGAGGGAGTGAGGCTGGGGCTAGGGAAGGGGTGGGGAGAGGGGTGAAGGACAGCCCAGTGGCTGCAAGCAGGAGGCATCTGCCACTCCCAGGGCTGCAGCAGGGATGGCACTGGGCTCTTCGCAGTGCTCAGTGTGGGCAGCAGCCCCACTTACCTTACTTCTCCCCACTCACTGCAGCCTCTACTGTAGGAGCCTCAGGAGTGGCTGATGCCAGCTGTCTGCAGTCACTGGACTGCACTGTGCCTTGAACCCCTCCTGGCGCAGCACAGCCCAGCAGCTGCAAGCAGGCAGCAGCCTACAGCAGGACTAGAGCAGGTAGAGGCTAGCAGCACTGGGCTCTTCCCCACGCTTGGCAGTGTTGCTAGGAGGGCAGGTTGCGGGGGCTATGGCAAGTTTGGGGTGGCAGCAACCCCCCCTCCTATTGCTGCAGCCCACCCCGAGCACCAGGAAGAGCCTGGTGCTGCCACTGGCCCCAACCTGCTCTCATCCTGCTGCAGGTGGTTTCCTGCCCCTGCAGTCCCCATCTGGGTCTGGCAGGTGTGCAGCTTTGGGGCCATATGGTGTCATGGGTGGTAGCAGGTCACAGCTAGGCAGTAGCCCCCACTGCCAGACTGCTGCAGTGGGTAAAGGGTGCAGGGAACTCAGGGCTGGTTCAGCAGTCCAGCTAACACAAGGGGTAGCGGCCCCAGGTACCAATTGGCTGGGCCCCTGAAGCTCCTGAGAGTGAGTAGGCCTGAGGTACTTGCCAGGCTTTTTATACTGCTGGGGCTAGTGCCTATGATAGTCCCAGCCTCTAGAGCCAGGCAGTGTTATTTTGCCCCAAGTGGTACAATTTGCCCCACACCAAAGTGCATGTCCAAGCACATGCGCCAAGGCAAAAAGCCCCAGCTTAAATTTGTGCCTCTTCTATTTGAAGTTCTACAAGCACATGTGCCTGCATGTGTTGACATGTACCAAGGGTCCAGGGGATCTGATTTTGTTAGGTTTTTTGAGAGTGTGGTCAACTTTCTTGAAGTGAATTACCCTGCCACAAAACGCTGCAATTTAAACAGTGCACCTTCTTCTGAGGGACATCAATCCTTTCCTGGTTTCTAGTTTGGCTTTTGTAAGTAGCTAAAAAGGAGAAAATTAACTGATGAGGTAGCTATTCTACAATGTTCAACTGGCAGCTACAGAACTGAACAGGTCTCCTTTTCAACTACTGGGAGTTTAAATATTAACCCATTCCTGCCCTTGCAAAATATATTTTACTAGCACTCACAAAAACCCTTTTGCCAACGGCAAAATTTAAATGCTGTTCCTGAATTAAAACGCCAGAGGCTGTAATATACCAGAACTCTTATTTGCTTGAGCAAGTTTACGTTTTTCCTTTAGCTTATTAGCAACATTCAGGCTAAGTTGAGTAATAAACGGCACCCAAGTATGGCTTTGTAGTTAAAGCTCATTATTACTTAATTAGAAAGCGGTTACTACCTCCAAATGCTGCATTTCAGAGTTATTGAGCAGACTCTGAATTATAAACACCACCACAGTCTATTCAAGGACAAATATTTTTATTGTTTCCAGATGGTATTGATAGGTCTCATTGTGAAAAAAAGCAGTAGGATAATGTGTTAAACAGCTTCTTTCATGATTCTGGTCAGTTTCTGAATCTTGGTTTTTGTGGACATGTCAACATATCTCTCTCCAATGCTGACAATCATTCCACCCAGGATTGATGCATCAGTCTGAGAAAGGAAAAAGGTTAAAACAACATTCTATTAGCCAGATAGTCAGTGGTCAACTTCTTTTATGTAGTAAAGAAAAAAAGAATTCATAGAATACTTGGAAAAAAAAAATGTATAACAGATCTTTCAGTGAAGACTGTGGCTAAGGGTCTGCCTACCGGTTACGGCAAAGACTTAATAAAGTTAATTCACAACTCATTAATCCATACCTTGGTCTCCAGTTTTAGGATTTCTCCTTTAGCCAGAAAGCTGTTCAAAGTAGTTTTCAGCTCAGCAAGACTGACTTCATCTAAGGGCTAGAGGAGATGGGGGGGGGGGGGGGGGGAAAAAAAAAAAAAAAAAAAAAAAAAAAA